TGGAGACGACCAACATTGATAACACTAATAGTATTACAGTTCTTGTAGAATTAACATAACTCCATGTTGGTTCATATTCTCCACACACCATTTCTATTCATAGGACCAAATGTTTTTTGCAAGATATGTTGTTCAAATCGAAGGATAAGAGATTCTTCTTTGGAAGACTGCCAAGAGTCTTCTCTGAATCTTTCCCTTTACATCTTGTTACATTTCACCAGGGAGCCTAGGTAAATGAACTGTTCAACCCTCTCAAATACACGGTGGACCAGACCCCCTTACCGTGCACCCCCCCCCCCCTTCCCCCACATCGATATAAATTGCATATCGTTGTGTTCCTTGTGACAATTTATTAAAAAAAAGCCAATGTTCCCACAAAAAAAAGTGAACGAACTGCCCCAAAATGGCGTCCAAACATGGCGGATTGACGTATAATTATATAATTATAATAATACAACTTAATTCAACAATACTTTGCAGAATATCTTGAATTTTTTTATTTAATATTTGCAATTAAACATTTTGTTTTATATATCTGCTGATTATTAGAGGTAATTTAAATTGTATATACTTCCCCGGAAATGAGTCATATTAATATCTGTTTTATAAACTAAAATAATATATACTTAATCTGAACTACTTTTAATGAATAGGTGATGGATTGGTTAGTAAAATTCATATATCGCTATTAAAAAAAAACATTTTTATTTCCTTTATTTTATTCGGAAGTTGGACCATATCATAAAAAATATGAACTTTTAATATTAAATGCATTATTCTCTCTGCACAAAATACGGATGGAAAGGGCGAAACTATAAGTTCTTCTAGGTAACTGGAACTGATTGTTAGTACTTGGTCTCAAAATGAGGGAAAAAGCGAAATTGAACCCAAACATTGGAAAAAATACATTAAGCGAACGGCAAAGGAAGTGCCAAAATTTCGGAAAAGAAAACAAGGATTAGTATCCGTTATAAGGCTAAACGAATATGTAGTAGACAAATGAACAGAATATTTCAAGATGCTGTTAAAAGGGGGTCAAAATGCTTGATCAGTTTGGATGATATTAAGCAGGTTTATTATGGTGAAGATCATTTCATCAGCAAGAAAGATTTGTTCTAAGCAATTGGCAAGTCAGCTGGTCTGGACGAAGTAACCCGAAATGCTGTGCGTACAAAGGCTACAAATGTATTAGAAAATGATATGAAAGGACTGTAGTTTTGTCCCTTTACAGGAAATGAGATACTAGGAAATGTTATTCGAGATTCCTTACTGTTTATAGTACCAAAGAAAGTCAAAGTGATGAAGCCATTTCATCTGCAAGAAAGATTTGTTCTAAGCAAATGGCAAGCAGGTCTGGAGGAAGTAAACGAGGTTTATAATAATGAAAATCACTTTGAATAGATTGCTATTGAAGTTGTACGTTAGGACTATCTTCACTTTGAAGCAGGTTATAGAGAGGTCTATCGATAAAGGAAAATAGCTCTCCTCCTGTTTAGTGCAATTGCAAAAGATTTTTGAAGGAATCTGAAAGGAAAACGAGCTTTAGTGAAAGACTGGTAGATATTAGATCAATCCAAAGTGTGAGGCACTACGCAGATAGAGAACCATTTTTCTTTCTCTGTGGACTTCTCTATAACCTACCTTAAAGTGAAGACAGTCCCAATTTGCAGCTTATGTTCGAATGTGCAACTTGAGTTTCTCAATCCATCAGGCAATCGACAATATTTCTAATTTTAGCTTCTACGATTCTTGAGTAGACTTTCTTTGGTACTATAAACAGTAAGGAATCTCGAATAACATTTCCTAGTATCTCATTTCCTGTAAAGGGACAAAACTACAGTCCTTTCATATCATTTTCTAATACATTTGTAGCCTTTGTACGCACAGCATTTCGGGTTACTTCGTCCAGACCAGCTGACTTGCCAATTGCTTAGAACAAATCTTTCTTCCTGATGAAATGGTCTTCACCATAATAAACCTGCTTAATATCATCCAAACTGATCAAGCATTTTGACCCCCTTTTAACAGCATCTTGAAATATTCTGTTCATTTGTCTACTATATATTCGTTTAGCCATACAACGGATACTGATCCTTGTTTTCTTTTCCGAAATTGTCGTTCGCTTAATGTATTTTTTCCAATGTTTGGGTTCAATTTCGCTTTTTCCCTCATTTTGAGACCAAATACTAACAATCAGTTCCAGTTACCTAGAAGAACTTATAGCTTCACCCTTTCCATCCTTATTTTGTGCAGAGGGAATAATGAATTTAATATTAAAAGTTCATATTTTTTATGATATGGTCCAACTTCCGAATACAATTAAGAAAATAAAAATGATTTTTTTTTATAGCGATATATGAATTTTACTAACCAATCCATCACCTATTCATTAAAAGTAGTTCAGATTAAGTATATATTATTTTAGTTTATAAAACAGATATTAATATGACTCATTTCCGGGGAAGTATATACAATTTAAATTACCTCTAAGAATCAGCAAATATATAAAACAAAATGTTTAATTGCAAATATTAAATAAAAAAATTCAAGATATTCTGCAAAGTATTTTTGAATTAAGTTGTATTATTATAATTATATAATTTTTATAATAGAGGCCTTCTTAAGCGACCTCCATATAGAATAAAGGAAGTTAAATTTTAAAAAATAAATAATAATAAATAAAAAAATAATAATAAAATTAAAAAAAATTTTTTTGACAATTAAATTATTGTATTAATATTTGTTCGTTAATACAATAAATATAATATAACAAAAACGTTATTATAGCACTATAACTAAGTCATTTATGAGTACTGAGTGGTGTGGTAGAGGCCTGAGGCACCTACGCCAGTAGCGCTTTTCTGCCGCTTATGTACATTTTCTACGGAACTACTTCAAATATTTTAAAAAGTAATCAGTGTTTTAGAAAGAGAAATGTATTCTCCAGATGTTTTATTTCAGCACGTTTTGCATTATTGTTGACCGTTTAATTACAAACGACGCTTGATTTTCAACTTGAAAATTTTTTTGTAAAAAAAATTGACTTTACCGATTTTTTTTAATGCCTAAGCCAATTAGTTTTTAATATTTTTTCATGTTTTATTATTCTATGACTATCCAGCTTTAATAAAAGACCAACTATTATGAAATTAAGCCAAATGCTGATTCTCAGTAACAAAAAAACTGACTAAAGTCAAAGTCGTCAATCCGCCATGTTTGGACGCCATTTTGGGGCAGTTCGTTCACTTTTTTTTGTGGGAACATTGGCTTTTTTTTAATAAATTGTCACAAGGAACACAACGATATGCAATTTATAGGGATGTGGGGGGGGGGGGGGTGCACGGTAAGGGGGTCTGGCCCACAGACTAAAATGTCTTATTTCCAATTTCTGTCTGGTTGTAATTTGGGGTAATACCATGAGATCCTGAAAGAATATATTTAGATGTTTTTTTCATCCAACACTAAGCCTGCCTGTTCTAGCTGCAACTCTCTAAGGACCAAGAAATATAATATAAACATAAAATATAAAACTTAAAATTAAAATATAAAACTAAGATGTATTATTTTTTCTAATTTATCTCTTTATTGATTTGTTTTGCCCACAGGTCAGTATAATAAATAATACATTTAGTTCTGATTATTATTTATTAGTGAAATTTTCGAGGAATCTCCATTGTCTCAATTCAGCATCTAACATAATACAATCAATATAATATAGATTCTATCATAAACCAGTCATATTGAACTTTAAAACATAACATTTCAAAAAATATATTAAAACATTTGTTTGTCTAACCTAGTATGAATTATTTTACATACATTAGCTAAAATAATAACATACATACATGATATGCACCGAAAATTTGGTAAGTCCTATGTGTTAATAAGTTTGGACAATGTCTGATGTTCAACTAAGAGAATTAAAGTTCATTAAGGGTTGTGAGCGGAGGGTTAAAATAATAAATTTAGTGATGTAGAGATGGTTGACCGTTTATATAATGTGAGAAGGAGTTAATCGGGGGGGTGCGGTCAAATAAATACTAAATTAAACAGATAGTAATTATTTAATTTTTGCCGACGTTTCGACCCACTTTGCAGGTCGTCTTCAGGGTTACAAGAGATACAAAACATGGGGAAAATAAAATAAATGAATATAAGTAGATATAAAATAAGAAGAAGTTGTCAGATACAGAAATAAAAAGATGATATGAGAGATATAGTGGGTGACAATGTAGTTAAAATATCAAGTATTATATACATAGAAGATAAAAACAAATGGGAAATAAGTATGAACAAAAATAGAAAATAAAGGAGAATATAGCATGTAAGTTAAAAGTAAACAGATTGCGATAAAAGATTGTATTTATCAGACATTATATTTATCTTTTATCGCAATCTGTTTACTTTTAACTTACATGCTATATTATCCTTTATTTTCTATTTTTATTCATACTTATTTTCCATTTGTTTGTATCTTCTACATATATAATACTTGATATTTTAACTATATAGTCACCCACTATATCTCTGATATCATCTTTTTATTTTTGTATCTGACAACTTCTTCTTATTTTATATCTACTTATATTCATTTATTTTACACCATGTTTTGTATCTTTTGTAGCCCTGAAGACGACCTGCAAAGCAGGTCGAAACGTCGGCAAAAATTAAATAATTACTATCTGTTTAATTTAGTATTTATTTGACCGCACCCCCCGATTAACTCCTTCTCATATAATAAATTTAGTATTTTAACCTTCACAGCCATTAATGAATTCTACTCCTTTTAGTTGGACATCAGACATCGACCTACACTATAGCATTTATTACTATAGGCAAAATTGCTGTACGATTTATTAAATTATTATAAATTTAACTCTTTAATTATGATACAATTTATTAAATTACTATACAATTTATTACTATAGCCAAAAAAATAATGAAAAGATAAATTTGAGTAAAAAAAAGATCAAAACTGGAAAATATATTTTTTTTTTCAGATAAAAACCCGAAGAATTTTACCCACCAATTCAAGTGTGATTTCACCTCTCATTCATGTGGTTTCCGGAATAGGGGAAAGGCTATTTGGAAGTGGAAGTTTGTGAGGAAAAATGGTATTATAACATTTTTTGTGTTTTTAGTTATCACTTCATTGCACCCGACTTACAAATATTTTATTCACAGAAGCATACATGTTCGCTTTTACAAACGACACATCTTCAAGAAGCCAACTCCTTTCAGTGAACTTCCACCCAGTTATTCCGAAAGATGACTCCAAACCCCAAGGATGTCTTTCTTATTCATACTTCTTGAGGTCATCTTCAATGCAGGTAGGAAACATTGGCTAATAGATGAATCTTTATTAAGAAGTAATTGATAATTATTTTGTAAATTTTACATAAGAATAATATTTATTTAAATATTGTTTTTTTTTGTAAGGTAGTATTAGACTATTTAATATTTCTAATTATTCAGGTTGTATACCTGATAACAGTCCCTTAAAATTGTTATTATTTTTTTATTTTACATCTAGTGTACAGAGAAGATTTTAAGGATGATAAATATTCAGTACACAGTCATTATAAAGTTTTTATTGGTGACGACATTTCAACCCAAACATGTGGGTCATCATCAGGGCTGAAAAATTGTTTAATAAATTCAGAGATATAGCATTTTAAGACAGATATTGGTTAATAATAACAAATATGGTGATTGATGAAACATGAAATAGGTAAATGAAATATGTAAAAAGTTATATAACCTGTACCACTACAACCCATGAAGGATCTGGGGTTCAGTACTATTTAGGGAAAGCACTGTTTCTAGGTCAACGGTTGTGCAAGGAGGTGATTTGACCGAGATCACGCTCAACCGCCAGGTTTTCCCCCTTAATTAATTATTTAATGAAGGGTACCCACTTTATAGAGGCTGGGTGTGCCCCAGGAGGGACTTCTCACCCAAGGTCGCCCCACGGCCAATGAAACAGATAAATAAATTTTCTGCCATGAGCCGGAGTTCGAACCTGGAACCTTTGCATTGGAAGCTCAGTGCCCTACCACTGAGCTACCCCGCTCCCTAAAAAGTTATATAAACTAAAAATAATGTATATAATGAATTTATAAAAAATTTAATATTTACTCTTACTAACCATGTTTGAGCACTGAAGGTATTCAAGTACTGACACATTGGTAGGTAAGTAAAAGGGTTGGTGGAGGATTTTCCAGATGTTTTTAAGATAGCAAAAGGTAGGCAAACATAGTCAGAGGGAGTAGGGTTTACATTTCTGTTTGTAGAATGCAAATAATTGATAACTAAAATATTCAAGATGTATACAAGATTTGTGTTGTTTCTTATAGTTACAATATTGTGACGACTGGCTTAAAATGAAATAACAATAAATAAGATGTGACATTCAATATAAACATAAAATAGTTTGAGCGAAGGTACACAATAGTTAGCAAAATAATGTTTATAATACAGATAATCGTAATGAATTGCAATGGAAAGTAGTACAATCTATTATACAATGTTTTAAGAATAACAATGTTTATCATAAAAAAAATATTATATTAAGGATTACATTATACTAATAGCATAAGTATAAACATAAGCATAAAACATCAATCTGTACCTGTTTACTTAATACTCTAATAAATAAAAATTAATAGTTGATGTAGAACAGTCGATAAACTAACTTAAAGAGAAGCTTTTAGTATTTTCATCTTAATAAAACACCCATTTATAGTATGAAATTATAACAAAAAATTTTTGAATTGAAAATTTCTTTAGGCGCGTTTTGCACATTTTTTTTGGAGAGTGAATTAGATTGAGCCCTCAGATGAAGATGTGTAACACTTGGGTAAAGTTGGCTGGAGTCGATTAATTGAATTGTTTTTGCATATGGATTAAAATATCTCAGACACTAAAAATTGGACCTGCATACTGAAAGTGAGAGGAATTTTCAGCATTGCATTCCCTTTATAATGAGCTATTATTTATAATTTATATTTCATATTATTAATCTCGCCTTGTTGATGTTTACACTTCTATCATGTGATTTAAAGCACATACCTTAGTTTTTTTATATAGCATAATTGCCATGTAAATTAATTTCAAGTCATACCTTCAATGCTCACTCCTTCAATAAAAATTTATAATTCAAGCTATGTTCTTTGTGTAACTTACATTTTTCCAAAATTGTTTAATGATTGAAATAAGAATAAAATTTCATAGTACTTAGTATTTTTAAAATTTATTTTACAATTGTTTGAAAATATGGAAAATGAACAAAATAAACAAATAAAACTATTTTCCTGGATTAATATAATGGGAACTGTGAACTCATGAAATGAGAATAATTTTATTATACTGGGACTGGTGTCTCCTTAAAACAAGTTATAAATACAGAATAAATGAAACATGCTATTGTGACCATGACTTGAATTAAATATTTAGAAAATAATAGATAATTAAAAATAAAAATACAGAGAGAAAAAGAAAAAAAAAACAGCTGCTGTCTATATATACAATATTATATATATTGTATATAATATACAAGCCATCAATAATACAGAAAATGATTGCTACTAAAATTACTCAATAATAATTTATTTTATTTTTATTTCCATGATAAAAAATAATATAATGATTATTCAGTAAAATAATTTTTTTTTGTTTGTTATTTTTTCAAATAGTAAAGTGAAATAAAAAAAACAGTCTACAAATATTATTAAATTTTATCGTTTAACTAATTTATGACATTAAACAAAATCATTTTTAAGTATTTAAGAATTTGTAGGAAAATTCGTAAGTCGAACTTTAAACTATTAAAAAAAGATTGAGGATTGAAGGTATGGAGGTTGTTTTGTTTTTTTGTGTAGAACAAGAAAAAATATTGTCTATAGTATTAAATGAGCAATAATGCATTATAAATTACAATAACCAAATGATGCTTTTAGTAAAGAAGGTCAAGTAAATTTTTTTTTTTATGAAAAATAATGTTAGATTCATTTTCTGTATTGTTTAAAACTATTTAATACAATTTTTTTAGAAATAAAAAACTGTAAATATTTTTTTAAGACTATAACATTCATAACTTCTCAGGATTTTCTCCAAATTCAGTATTAGTACAATAGTTGAATTATTTCTCTTTCATTCCATATCAATGAACATGAAGAATTACGGGTGATAAATATTCAGGACGCAGTCTTTTTTAAATTTGTTTTTATTTTTGCTAACGTTTCAACCCAAACATGTGGGTCATCTTCAGGGCATGGTTTGAGCACTGAGGTTGTTCATGTACTGGCAAAAAAATAAAAAAATTTTAAAAAGACTGCGTCCTGAATATTTATCTCCCATGATATGTAGAACAGTCGACTAACTTCCTTCTAGAAGAATTACATTAATTTTAAGTTAGAAATTAAGAAATGCTTCCAAAAACATTTTTATTTTATGTTTTGTTATGGAGGTTGGGTTTGTACTGTTCAGAGTAGTTTATAAAGTATTAAATCCTTAGTAATCTTGTGTTAATCAGTACAGTCCTCTTAAATCACAGGCAGATCTACAGGGGGGGAGGGGCTTTTGGGCTGAAGCCCCCCTCCCAAAATGGTAAAATATAACCATGTTTTACAGAAAAAAATATTAAAAACTATCTCTTAAAGTATTCTTGTTCGTGTAATTACATTTAATAGGACTTCAAGAACCACTTAAACACCATTTCATAGTGGTAGTTAATTACTTTCTTTTTTTTTTAAATTAATTATCGTTATATGTATATGAAAAAAAAATCTTTCGGGCTGAAGCCCTCTCCAAAATTAAATTCTGGATCCGCTGGTGTCTTGAAGTTATCAACATTTTTGTAATTGTCAAAAATGGACTTATGAAGGGGCCCAGCCTAGGCAAAAATATTGTCCAATTGCTCAAAATGAAAAATATATAAGTATAAGAGAAGTAGCAAAGTCTTGGTAGATATAATTTTAATTTGGTTGAAATTATTTGATTACATTGGGGAATGATCTTTAATTACCTTACTCTAATTTAAATAACTTTAGCAATCAAGGCTAAATATATGTTTATTTTGTTTAATAACAAAAAAAATGTTCAGATAAATAAGTTCAAATAAATTAATATGGATTCAAGAGTAATGGATTCATTTATTTTGTTTAAAAAAAAAAAAAAAATGGGGCTGAAGCCCCCCCAAAATGGCAAAATATAACCATGTTTTATGGAAAAAAATATTAAAAAATTATCTATTAAAGTATTATTGTTCGTGTAATTACATATAAAAGGACTTAAGGGATCACTTAAACACCATTTCATATAGATAGTTAGTTTCTTTCTTTTTTTCCAAAGTAATTATCGTAATTTTTATGAAAAAAAAAAGCTTTCGGGCTGAAGCCCCCCCCCCCCAAAATCAAATCCTGGATCCGCTAGTGGAACAATATTTTGGCCTAGGCTGGGGCCCTTCATAAGTCCTTTATTAATTACAAAAATGTTGATAACTTCAAGAGTACTGTACTGATTAACAAGAACATTACTAAGGATTTAAAACTTTATACACTACACTAAATAGTACAGGCCCGACCTCCATAACAAAATAAAAAAATAAAAAAATGGAACCATATTTATAAAATGAAAATGTTTTTTTAAGTTTTTCTTAATTCCTAACTTAAAAGTAATGAAATCCTTTTAAGGCTCGGTCACACAGAACGCGATCCGACGTTACGTTACAATAACGCGCGATACTCACGGCGATAACTAATCCGGGGCAGTCACACAGAGGGCGTTACTTTGAAAGCGATACAGCAGCCCCGTCGCTCTGCCTGACCTAGTCGACTAGAGAGCCTGCTTCCCGCAACTTGTATATTAATAATTTGTTTTCAATATTTTTCTTATTCATTTTTTTGAATAGAAAATAAGTGATTCTGACGAGGAGGCTCATTAGTTCAGCTCTTCAGCATAAGATAAAAAAAAAAAGAAAAAGGATTCATGAAATCAAAAAGCACATAGACTGATTGGTAGAATACCATCGCCTCGGCCGTCTGCTTCAATTTTACGAAGATAGATTTTTTCAATATTTCCGAATTTTATTTTTGCTTTCTTTACATTTATGTTCTTTTTTTAACATAGATTATTTTATTATGAAATTATGATTGAATGTTTTGTATATCGCAAGATTATTTCATGTTTTCAGTGTTTTTTAATCTAATTTCATTAAATGTATTTGATTTAATGACTTATTTATTGTATATATATATTATTTTTCTGTATAATTTATTTCATTTATTGTATTTATCTCTGAACACTATTATAAATGTCCTTTGAAACAGAT